CCCTAGAAATGGACATCAAGTTCTAAAGGCCAGAAAGCTGTAACTGACCTTAAACTCCAAAAAGAACCCAGTAGGCTGGACTTAAGCATGCTGGAGGATGTTTACATTTTTAAATCAGGGTTATCATAAGTTAGTCCCTGAATTTTATCATAACCTGTCACATGTGGCCACTGGTCAGATCAGGGACAAGTGTTTCCACAAGCAAATAAAAAACCGTATTTTTTTTTTTCATCTTTCTAAACAGCTCTGAGTTCAGATCCTGTCCAGGTTACCCACCTGTGATTCAAGAAGATACCATCCTAAAATATGACAGGAAAGTACATTGGGAGAAAGTCAACCTTTGAATTCTGTGCTTCGAGTTTTCAGGAGACACTGATTAGGCTACAAACACCCTTGTTTGCTCTATTATCTTAGGCCTTACCAGGACTTTCTTGGCCACCAGCAGACAGCAAAGTTCTGAGGGACAGGGCCCCACATTTAGTACCAAGGTGGTAGGTTGGGATGATGACAAGTAGACGCCAAAAGAAGCTGAAAGGGGATTCAGGGCAATATTACCTCTTTGGAATTTCAATAGAATAAAGAGAAAAATTTGTCTCTTCAGAGGGTTGAGATTTTAAAACCACCCTGTCAACGACTCCTGAAGAACCAAGAGAAGTTTGGATAAAACTCCTAGTGATTAGTCCCCCAACTGCTCATACCAGGTAAGAAATAATAGCTCTTCAGGGCTCTCTTTCCATATCAAAAGAACTTGAATTGTTCTTTGAGGCAATCTGTGGCCACTGTCCCAGTGGAAAGCTTCTTTTCAAATTATGTAGCGTGCTACTATATCAGGCTATGAAATGCTGCATGTGCTAAAATAAGTCAGAGATGGCTAGTCAGATTAGGAAAAAAATATTGTAGGCAGGCAACCAGAGACAAATTTGTCGAGAAAGGATGTCAGGGGGATTTCCAAAGTCTCCTACCTGAGGGACGGTGGTAGTGATTATGAATAATTCAAAGTGAGTTAACGAAGAGGATCCACCAATTTCAAAAACTATATAATATTTTTGAAGAAAAAGAGAGTTTAAGGACTATAAAAACATATGTCAGGAAGGTCCCCCTTAAATATCAATTCTGCCAAATGAAGGAAAAACTGTTTCAAAGGAAAACTCTCCTCCTGGCAAGATCTTACCACAGATGTTTTTCAGATCTTTAAAGACGGATTATTAATGGTTTAGCTCTCCACTACATTATAAAGCATTTTTCAAAGGTTTGTGCTATCTCTGTTTACAGTATCTGATAATAATAAAGCAGAGTTCATTTTTAGCCAATGAAAATGACTCTTCAAAAGGTTGCACATTTGTTTGAACCCAGACAAGCCACAGAAAGTACAAACTCTTCTGCATGTTCAAAGTTCTCGAAACACACACACGTAATACCAACAACAAAGACGGGAACCACGGACCAGTTTTCCAGTACCAGTCTCAATTTTTTGAGTAACTGCTTCACCAGTTAGAGACCTTGCTCTGATCCATCTCTGCATCAGAGAGAAAAGGAAGAAAAGAAAAATGTACAATCCTATTTTCATGACCGGGACACGCCCTTTCCTTTCTCCGTGTGAAATATCAAGAGTTTCTGATTGCCTGCAGAAAATTTACATTCCAGCCCTACAACCTCATGTGACTTTTTATAGAACAAGGAAGTACTGGGGCTTATCTGCAACAGTGACAATGTACTGTGGTCACTCAGTGTTGGCCACAACAGCTTCAGTTACTAAGAACTCTGACCACCAGGGGAAATGTGCAAGGAGGCTACCAGATATCAGCTATGGAAGAAGAAAACAAGTTTCCCACGGAGCACAGAAAGAAAGCAATTGTTACAGCAGGGCAGGGCCTAGAGCTGCAAGAAAAGAAAATACAATTACAAAACCAGATGCAAAGCAGCAGAAGGGCCTGGATTTCTCTTTCAGCTGGTGAATCTACATATGGCTATAACCTTGCTGACATCTCTGGTCATCAGACCATAGGAGAAGGAGTACCCCAGCTGATGAAGAAATATTATAGTATTTGGAATACCTTACTTGTCCACAAGATTTTGATGTATTTAAATATATATATATATATATATATATACACACACACATATATCTCCTGTGTGCTTATCACTTGTGATCTTCTCGTGATGAGATTTTCTCCAAAAAATTCTATAAATCAGGCCCTGAACTGACATTACCTTGGCTTGTGTTTCTTTAGCTATTTCTCCGCAGTGAGAGACAAGGCTGATTCCTCTTTTCAATGAATGAAAAAAAGAAATTAGACAAGATGTGGTAGCTCAACTCTGTAATCCCAGCACTTTGGGAGGCTGAGGAGGGCAGATTGCTTGAGCTCAGGAATTCAAAACCAGTCTGGGCAATAGGGTGAAACCCCACTCTACAAAAAATAGAAAAATTAACTCAGCATGGTGGCATGTGCTTATAGTCCCAACTACTTGGGAAGCTGAGATGGGAGGATCACTTGAGCCCAAGAGGCTGAGGCTGCAGTGAGCCATGATCACACCACTATGCTCTGGCCTGGGTGACAAAAAAGAAAAAAAGTATACCTTCCAAATTATATTATGTAAGATGTCCTTAAGTATAATGTACAGAAATATAGTTTAGAACTTCCCTCCCAGAGAGCTGGGGTTCAGAGTGGGCCTGCAGACCTCCTAGCTCCTCTTTATGTATTTTAGGAGGTGAGGTGGACTGTGTGGGAGAAGAATCACTCTGAAAATGGCACCCAGTGTCCTTTGGCCATTCCCTCATAACTCTGCCCGGCCTGAGCTGGTCTTTATCTAGACACCTGACAATTCCAGGGCTCAGAAATGAGAATGTGGAAGACAGTTTAAGAAAGATAATATGTTAGGAGAACAAGGGAGGCTGTCCCACATGGCTGAAATAGTGAAGTTAAAAATCAAACTAGAAGAAGTCTATGGTATATTAAAGATGGCCAGAAATTCTTTAACAGTCTTCCTTTTGAGAAGTGGGATCTATTTACCCTCTTTTTGAATCTGAGCTTGCTGGTAACTGCTTTGATGCATACAGTGTGGTCAAAATGACACTCTGCACTCTGGTCCTTCACTCTAAGAGAACTGGCAATCTCCATGTTGGTCTCTGGGAGCTCTGAGTCACCACAGCTCTGACTTCCCTGCTGCAGAGGTCATACAGAGAGGCCCTGAGACTATATAGAGAAGGGGCCAGCTGAACCCCCTTTCCCACCATCCCCACAAAGGCAACAGGCACAGAACCCTCCAGAGTAGCCTGGGTGCCAACTGAATACCTCTCTAGTGATGCCAGAGAGATTGCATGGAGCAGAAGAATCCCCAGCTAAGCCCTGACTGAATTCCTAACCCACGAAAGAATGTCCCACAATTAATTAATTAATTAAAATGCTTGTTATTTTAAATCACTGGGTTTTGGGGTAATTTGCATGCAGTCATAGATAACCAGCACACAGCCTCTAAGAAGGGTATATAATTTTAAGAATAAAATCTCTAATTGTGGAAAACTTGATAAATTCCAAATTTTAGTGATCTGTTAAAAAGAAGATTACATTCTAAGTGTGTGTGTTCCGTAATATGTATACAGGGAAGAGAAAAGCTAAGGAGAAAAGACATGAATCTCTTGCCTGCTGGCAAAACTTCCCCAAACAGATATTCTTCTAAAAGCTGTATATAAGCTGGATCATTGTAAATCTTTCCAACAGCTATCTACTGAGTAACTGCTACAAGTCAGTCACTGAGTTAACTCCTAAGGTTTTAATAATCACAAAAATATCATTTCTGCCCCGGAAATTTTGCTCTCTTGTGGGTCACTAGCAAATTAATATGTAAATTTACAAATTGGTTAAATCAGAGGTTGACAAACTTTTTCTGAAAAGAGCCAGATAGTGAATGTTTCAGCCTTGCAGTCCAACTCTGCCAGTGTGATGCAAAAACAGCATTTTAGACAATATATAAACAAATGAGAGCAATGGAATCCCAAAAGAACTTTATTTATGGATACCAAAATTGTGTGTCTTGAAATATTATTCTTCTTTTAATTGTTTTCAACAATTTGAAAATGTAAAATTGGTCTTTAACACACAGGCTGTACAACAGGCAGTGAGCTGGATTTGATCCTCAGGCATAGTTTGCCAACCTCTTTTTAAAATTTTTATCAGATGGGCCTAAATCAGATAGAACTTGCAAAAAGTTAAAGGGCATTACCAGACTAATTTAATGCTCTGGATGGTCATGGATACAAATAATAATCTGCCTCCTATTTCTGGTATTCTCCACGCATAAGGAAAGGCATGAACTTATAGCCTACAAGAGTAGCTTAGAGTTTTACTAGGGAGTAGCTCTGGGAAGCATCAAGACCCCAGAAGAGGGGAGGAATCAGCCCAAGGAAGAAAGGAGAGAAGGAACCATAGAGGCGAGTGGGAGGGCACGTCTGCAAAGGCAGCCGGATGTTGTGCAAGCATTCAGCAAGAAGCACTCAAAGGGCAAAATTGGGGCTTCGTGGGGAAAGAACAGTGTGACAACATTTTTTTAAAATTTCCACTCTTTGTAAACTCCCAGTGCCTTTGGGTAAAGCTATTTATAAGCATATTTAAGACACCTAGAGCCAAGTAAAATGGAAGCACAGAAATGAATAAAGAAGAAAACAGGACGTCCTTGTTATGGAAAGGCTAGTTCGTCACATCACCACCTACCCTTCCTTTAAATTTTACTATTCCACTTTATGCTGAAATAAGTTCATTTTGGGAAAAGACTTGCTAAAGAGTTGATGTTTTGCATATTAGTGTTTTGTATTTGCTTTGTTTTTATATAAAGAGCCTTCAAAAACTATCGTAAAAATTAAAAATTTATGGAATAGATCTCCACAACAAGAGTGGACACACACACATTCTGCCCCACACATCCGCCAAGTACGATTATACTATTGCTTAAATGAGCTAACTCTTTTAGAAGAAAAAGAAAGTCTGAGACACCCATATTTCTACCCTTTGTACTCTGAGATGATGCATATATTCCCCCTGCATCCTTCTCATGCTTTCAGCGTCATGAGGTATAAAAGTGTGCTCCCGGTCCCAAGGGTAGCAGCTGTGACCTACATTTTCTTCACGTTCTGATGCTGTTTGTGGCTTCCTCTTCCCTTCAGGGGGCCCACGATGTCTTTGTTCAAAGCACTCTTTCCAATAGCTGATGACATAGTGTCAGGCAAGTCCACAGCTGTTTCAATCATCTGTCCACACAGACACCAAACAACAGAAATAAGGTAAGCATGTATCTAAGATAGGTCTAGTCTGCTCTGGGGAAAAACAGAAAGTCCTTTCATGATATACGGGCAGCATTCTGCGTGATTTATTTGACATCAACTCTAAGACCAATGGCTTGTGGGTTTCTTTTCACTCAGGTCACATGATTCTTCTTTAGGATCTCAATCAACTATTTCCACTTCGCTTAACTTAAAAAAATCAAAAGCCTCCAGCAGTCAACAGTACAATTGTTCAATTTTGTACACCTCCCCCGCTTTCTAATCATGCCTTTATAAATTACTGCTTTAGTGCTCATCAGAAGACCGTAAGTTTAAAATTTTGAATGTGCATGTTAAGTTTGGCTGTTACTTTTAGTGTTGTTTTCTACATGAATGAGCCAGCTTTGACACTACAGACACAGCCTGTTTAGGCAAGAGCAGTGCTTATGTAATCCTAGCTTCCCAAACCACATCAACAGCACAAATTTGACAGCCAGAAGGAAGGAAGCGGGGGTGGGGAAGGCAAAAGGAAAGAAAGAGAGACTCAGCTTCAACCAAAAACATATTTGGCTCATATTTCCACCTCTGTTAACTGAGATTCCAACTCTACAGGAGCTCCTCTCCACTCATCCCTCCATGCCTGATCTGGGGAGCAGCTTGGTTTTTCTCCTGCTAAGGGAAAAACCCTTAGTACCTTCCTTCTCTGCAAACATTAGAAACAACTCAATCAAGTTGATGTATAGAGGATGAAAAGTCCTTAGCCAACAAGGATACTTCAGCCTTTCCAGGTATGACACAGCCTCTTCCCTTCCTATCTGCTAGCCAGCCAACAGGTCTTTCACCACTAGTGCTCTGCCAACATGTGTGGCTGCCAAAGGCACCTCACTGGCCAAGAGGAAGGAAGCTTTCCTTCCAAAGCAAACATCCAGTCTTCAATGAATAAGCCCTGCATGCTGAAACAGCCCCCTCTCTCACAATCACCTTACTCTTTAGAAAGCTGTGGTAGGCAAGTAAAGACACCCTCCAAAATATTCATATTCATATTCCACTCCCTGGAACCTGTGAATATGTTGAGTTACATAGAAAATGAGAACCAAGATGGAATTGAGTTTCTAATAAGCTGACCTTAAAATAGAGAGATCATCCTCCATTATCTGAGTGGGCCCAATATAATCACAAGGGTTCTTAAAAGTGGAGGGGGGAGACAGAAGAGATGATCAAAGGGACACTATGTGAACAGAACTCAACCAGCCATTGCTGGCTCTGAAGATGGAGAAAGGGGGCTATGAGTAAAGGAATGTGGGCAGCCTCTAAAAGTTGGAAAAAGCAAGGAAGAGGATTCTCCTCTAGAGCTTCCAGAAAGATATGCAGCCCTGCTGACACTTTGAGTTTAGCCCAGTGAGACCTGCATCAGACTTCTTACCTACAGAACTGTAAGGCTATAAATCTGTGTTGCTTTAGCTACTAAGTTTGTGGTAACTGTTACAGCAGCAATTAAAAACTAATACAAAAACCATTGGTTCAAGGCAAGTCCATACTGCTTGGGTAGCCACCCTCTATTTATCAAAGACTTTCGGTTGAGGCCCAGGTGCACAGTTCATTCTATCTAGGTATGTGGTTCTAAGTCTCCTCTTTGAACCCTCCTGAAGATTGACACCAGACCACATCTGCACTGCGATTGCTTTCATTTTTCTCTCATGTTGGTCTTCTCTAGAAATTTAAAGAATTCCAGATCAAAAAGAGCTGTGTGCAGTGTTGCACACCTGCAGCTCCAGCTACTTGGGATACTGAGGTGGCAGGATTGCTTGGGCCTAAGAATTTGAGTCCAGCCTAGGCAACATAGCAAGATCTGATCTCTTAAAAAATAATTATTTAAAAAAAAAAAAAAAAAAAAAAAAAAGCTCTAGGTGGCATTAAATTCATGGCTTTGCCTCCATAGGAACTTGCCTTAATGTGAAAACCACTTTGTTTGGCAAAAGCATAAATGAGTTTTCCAGAAAACCAGCCCTTTACTAGTGGTATAGTACAGGGCGAAGGTCTAGACCCCAGGGCATTCTGCTCTGAGCAGATCAGACTGCTTGGGTCCAGACAATCCTGGGTATTCCTCACAAGCTGCAGGAGGGGACAAGTTACTTAACATCTTACTTCTCTATTTCCCCATTTGTAAAATGGGCAAAGTAATAATATCTACCTCATAGAGTAGTTGTAAGGTAAAATAAGTTAGTACATATAAGGAGCTTAGAGCAGTACCTGGCACAGAGCAAGTCCCATTGATCACTGCCATACTTTGTCGTGTCTTTGGTTCTCACATCATCATGGTTTTGTATATCCTGATAGCATCTGTTCTTGCCAAAGGTCTGACTTTCCAACACATGCTTTCCTAAAGGAAACAAAATGATGTACTTGTTCCCAGTGGCCATCCAAATGTAAAATCCATGCTTGGAAAACTTTGCGATCCTTCTTTTATACTGCTAAGTGCCCCTTAATTAAGGCTAAAATAAGTTTCTCCAATGGTTTTAAAGCATAGGTCACTTAAAATTAACTCCCGTAAGCTATTTTACAAACTTCCTGTTAAGAAGTAATTTCTCAAAATAGAAAAGGCATAATATTAGCTTCAAAAGTACCTGGAGTATTCATTAAAATGTAAATTATTGGGCATTACTTAAGATTTAGTGGAGGCCCATGAATCTGAATATTAATAAATATATTACATATAGCATGTGATTCTTATGCATACAAAGGTTAGGAATCATTGCCTTAACATATCTTTAGTTTAAAGCCTACCCTTCTTTTATTATGCTAGATAATTTCGCAGGTAAAACAACTACAAAAAAAAAGGCCAGGTATAGCTGATTTGTACATCACTCTCTTGTATGGTGTTTAAAGAAAATCGGCCATTTACTTTCTCAAGAAAGAGAAATAAGAAGGCATGGCATACTAAAAAATAATGACTCGTTAACAGAGAAATGCATTTATTATCTTCTCATAGCACAGACACAACTGTGTGTGTGTATACACATATTATATACACATATGAATATAGAATAAATGAGTTTTATAAAGCAGTCTTTGTAACACATTTATATGTGGTTTTCACAATGGAACTTCCATTATCAAAATCTAGATTCTAATATTGGAATGTTTGAAAAGTACCCACATTTGATAATAATATTGAAAATGCTACTTGTAACTAAATGCAGTTCTTATTAACTTTCCTTTCACTTGTGATATCATTGACACACAATTATCAGCTCATAAAACAAAAAGAGCATTGCCTCAGCATGTATATTGTGAAATAAAGGGATTACGTGTCCAAAGTGTGCTAGGAATAGAAGAACTGACATCATCCACATCATGGTGATGAGTTTTCCCTACAGATCTCCAAAAAAGGAAAAGCAAAACCATGTTTTGGGAGGCAACGCCAAATCTTTTTTAGTAATTTTTTCATTTTATTGGTTGTTTTATTTTCACAGTGATAAATTAGTGCTCAACTCCAAATATTTAATGAAAATACTTTATGGCACATATGTGTGCATGCATCTATTTTCCCCCAAAGTGTGAATTATAGTATATCTACATCAGAATCTTCTTTTCTATTTCTTTTAAGCAAGTATCTCCAACCTTACCCCAAGCCTCTGATGTTAGGGCCTAGAAACCTGCATTTTTAGCAAGTTTTTCAGGTGATCCTTGATCACATTTAATTTTGAGAATCACTTCTTTGAGAATATATAATGAAATTTAAACTAAATGGTGTATTTTTGTCTTATTTTTGAAATATTTTTAAATTACCTTAATGGTTTATCTAAACTCAATATAAATTTCTCTTTATTTAATCTAATAAATGGAAATCTAGAAAATTCATTCACAAAAAACCAAGACTAAACTGTAATAAGAATCAATTAATATTTGCCAAATAAGTAATCTAATTAATTAACACAGGAGGAAATAAAATTCAGATAATGAGCTATGAATTCTTTGACTTGACCAGTATCAGAAAAAAATAAATCATTAAGGCTACATCATCTCTATTAAACTTGTACTCATAGGCTTAAGCAACAAAGAATTATCTTAAAACCCATATATCCTATTGTCTAGGTTGGTGGAGGGGGGAAGCATATTATTTATTCACCAAAAACAGAAATAGAATATAAAGTAAATCAATAAAATTTTCAATTACTTGTTGTTGCTGTTGTGTTATCTTTGTTTTGACTTTACAGATTTTTTCTGACACAAGTAGTATCACTCAAGAATTAGTTTTCATCTGCATGAGTTCTTCTTCATGGAGGGCATGGTCTGTGTATGCTCACAGGTTTGGTTTTGGCCCATAACTCGAGTCTAGTTTACTGGCAATGCAGGTAGGAATCATCTGACTTGCTACTCCTCCCACAACATGTGTTTGTCCAAGTCTGTTTGAGAAATGACGCTTCCTTCCCCTCAATGCCAACAGCAGTGCTGCAAGCCTCTCAGCCTTTATCCACCACCAAACAGGTGAGCAGGACTATAGCACTTCTCATTCCTATTAAGATGCCTGAGTCTGTGAATCAACTCTTTTACATTATCAGTTTCCCATTCAAAACTATAAAGAAATATTTTTAAATGGTAGGAAATTTATAACATGGAAAAATTTTTTTAAACATTTTGACATTACTTCATGTGCTTTTTACAATTACAAATCCATTTTTAGTTATTATTCTTCTTTTTCACCTAACAATATATGTAGCTATTTTCTATAGCTACATTTTTTTAATAACAGTATAATGTTCCTTCAAATATGCAAACTGTAGTTCATCTAAACTACCCCTATTGTTAAGCATTTATGTTGCTTCCAATTTATTACTATTATAAATTAAGTTTTGATAATTAATAATTATGTTTTGATGAGTATTTGTGGTGTTTTCTATATTTGGGGTTATTGCCTTAGCACAGATTCCTAGTTCCAGGATTAATAAGGCAAAAGCATAACATTTTTATTGATTTTTGGAAAAGATTATGCCAGTTTATAGAACTCCAACAAAGGTAATAAAATTCACTTTTTTTCATCTTCCTTATCAAAATTGGATATACTTTCTTGTTTTTGCTAATTAAGTGAAGTCCCTTTGCTGTTAACCATAATCTTCATTACTTTGTTATTTTGTTCACACAGCAAGTTTATTGTAACGCTTCTTGAAAGCTGGAACCAGGGAAGTGGAACCAAGCAGAAACTGCTTGGTAGTTTGGAAGGATTGATGCACAAAACAATTGCAA